GGGAAAAAAGAGAAATTTGGGTTTTTTCTCCTCTCCAGGGGTGGGGGAGGGGCAGGCGGGCCCCTCCCCCCCACCCCAAAATCGGGAATTTTTTTGGGGGGAAAAAAGGGAATTTTGGGGGTTTTTAATATGGGGAATACCAGGAGGTGGCTCTGGATCGGCCCCTGCGGAGAAAAAAGGGGAAAAAAATCAGAATTTTGGGAAAAAAATCCACCAAAATGTCCCAAAAAACGGACGGAAAATGGAAATTTCAGCTCGAAATGTCCCAAAATCAACAAAATGTCCCAAATTTTAATGGAAAATTGAGAATTTCAGCCCAAAATTTGAGTAAGAAAACCAAAATTTGATGGAAAATTGGAAATTTCAGCCCAAAATGTCCCAAAATCAACAAAACGTCCCAAAATTTGATGGAAAATTAAGAATTTTAACCCAAAATGTCCCAAAATCAACAAAATGTCCCAAAATTTGACGGAAAATTAAGAATTTTAACCCCAAATGTCCCAAAATCAACAAAACGTCCCAAAATTTGATGGAAAATTGAGAATTTCAGCCCAAAATTTGAGTGAGAGACCCAAAATTTGATGGAAAATTGGAAATTTCAACCCCAAATGTCCCAAAATCAACAAAATGTCCCAAAATTTGATGGAAAATGGAGAATTTCAGCCCAAAATGTCCCAAAATCAACAAAATGTCCCAAAATTTGATGGAAATTNAATCAACAAAATGTCCCAAAATTTGATGGAAATTTGAGAATTTCAGCCCAAAATGTCCCAAAATCAACAAAATGTCCCAAAATTTGATGGAAAATGGAGAATTTCAGCCCAAAATGTCCCAAAATCAACAAAATGTCCCAAATTTTGATGGAAATTTGGAAATTTCACCCCCAAATGTCCTCAAATTCCCCAAAACCTCAGAAAATTTGAGTGGGAACCCCAAAATTGGATGGAAAATCAGGAATTTCAGCCCAAAACATCCCAAAATTTGAGTGAAAAGCCCAAAATATTCCAGGATTTGACGGAAAATTGGGAATTTCACCCCAAAATTCACCTGAAAATCCCCCCAAAAATTCACCTGGAGAAACCAAAAACGCCCCAAAATGGCGTCGAAAAACCCAAAATTTTCCAGAAATTACCTCAAATCCCTTCCCAAAAATCTGAACTCCCAAAAAGCCCCAAAATCCCAGGAATTCACCCCAAAAATCTCACCTGAAAAATCCAAAAATCCCACCCAGGAAACACCAAAAACGCCGCTAAAAACGGTCCCAAAACTGCCCCAAAATCGCTTCAAAAAACCCCAAATTTTCCAGGAATGACCCCAAAACCCTTCCCAAAAACCTCAAATCCCAAAAATCCCCAAAATCCCAGGATTTCACCCCAAAAATCCCACCTGAAAACCCCCAAAACTCACCTGAAAAACCTCAAAAATCAACCACGAAACGCCGCTAAAAACGGCCCCGAAAATGCCCCAAAATCGCTTCAAAAAACCCCAAATTTTCCAGAAACGACCCCAAATCCCTTCCCAAAAACCTCAAATCCCAAAAATCCCCAAAATCCCAGGATTTCACCCCAAAAATCCCACCTGAAGCACCCCAAAAAATCAATCACGAAACGGAGAAACGCCGCTAAAAACGGCCCCAAAAACGCCCCAAAATCGCTTCAAAAACCCCAAATTTTTCAGGAATGACCCAAAACCCCTCCGAAAACCATCAAATCTTGAAAAGCCCCAAAATCCCAGGATTTCACCCCAAAATTCTCACCTGAAAAACCCCCAAATCCCACCCAGGAAACCCCAAAACTCACCTGGAGAACGCAAAAACGCCTCTAAAAACGGCCCCAAAAATGCCCCAAAATCGCTTTCAAAATCCCAAAATTTTCCAGAAACGACCCCAAAACCCTTCCCAAAAACCTCAAATCCCAAAAATCCCCAAAACCCCAGGATTTCACCCCAAAAATCCCACCTGAAGTACCCCAAAAAATCAATCACGAAACGAAGAAACGCCGCTAAAAACGGCCCCGAAAACGCCCCAAAATTGCTTCAAAAAACCCCAAATTTTCCAGAAACGACCCCAAATCCCCTCCGAAAACCATCAAATCTTGAAAAGCCCCAAAATCCCAGGATTTCACCCCAAAAATCCCACCTGAAAAACCCCAAAAATCAACCGCGAAACGGAGAAACGCCGCTAAAAACGGCCCCGAAAACGCCCCAAAATCGCTCCGAAAAACCCCAAATTTTCCAGGAATGACCCGAAATCCCTTCCCAAAAACCTCAAATCCTAAAAATCCCCAAAATTCTAGGAATTCACCCCAAAAATCCCACCTGAAACACCCCAAAAATCAACCGCGAAACGAAGAAACGCCGCTAAAAACGGCTCCAAAAATGCCCCAAAATCGCTTCAAAAAACCCCAAATTTTCCAGGAACGACCCCAAAACCCTCTCCAAAAACCTCAAATCCCAAAAATCCCCAAAATCCCAGGATTTCACCCCAAAAATCTCAACTGAAAAACCCCAAAATCCCACCCAGGAAACCCCAAAACTCACCTGGAGAACGCAAAAACGCCTCTAAAAACGGCCCCAAAAATGCCCCAAAATCGCTTCAAAAAACCCCAAATTTTCCAGAAACGACCCCAAAACCCTTCCCAAAACCATCGAATCTTGAAAAGCCCCAAAATCCCAGGATTTCACCCCAAAAATCCCACCTGAAGCACCCCAAAAATCAACCACGAAACGAAGAAACGCCGCTAAAAACGGCCCCGAAAAAGCCCCAAATTTGCTTCAAAAAACCCCAAATTTTCCAGGAATGACCCCAAACCTCCCGAGACCCCAAAATCGTGTTTTTTTGCCCCAAATCTGACCTGTAGCCCCGTGCCCGGGGCCGGGTGTAGCCGCTGTAGAAGCGGGAGCGGGCGGAGCCGTATCCCCCCCCCCGCCCCCGGAAGCGCCCCCGGGGGAAGCCGCGGTCGGTGCTGCTGATCCCGGGGCGGTTCGTCCTCTTGGGGATCACCTTTTGGGGCGAAAAACGGGGATTTTGGGAAAAAACG